GCGCGGGGCTTGGCTTTAGCCGGGTTTGGAAGAACGGAGTCTTCCACTGCCCGGAAAGCAAGCTGCCTGCACCCCCCCCCCCAAAAGAACTTGGCTTGCCCAAGCTTAAACCACAAATCCTGGTTTACCACCCCCAACGCAGGGTGGGCTCAACAGGCTGAGCCGCCAACCACCAAACCTCCTTCCCTTCCTCCTTGGAAAGCAACTCCGGCTCGCCACGAAAATATCCCCAGCCCAAAACATGGTTTCTTGGCCAAGCCACACAAGCCCTTGAGCCAAGCATCCCACATCACAGGGGTGAGTCAGAGGGACAAGCCTCTTCCAGCCAAACAACTCCAGGAACAGGACTGCCCGCCTCTCGGCAAAATAAATAAATGCCTAAATAAAACGGGATACCTCAGGCAAGGCTTCCTCCTCCCAAGAAATATGAAAATGAAAACACTTGAGTTAAAAGCAGGTTTTTGGGTACAGAAATGGAGTCCCGATAAATAAAAATATTTGTTGCTCAGAGTTGATCTGGACTCCTCAGTGCTCTCTGGGCTTGGTTGTTTTCTTGCAGACCTTTTCACGACCCAACTAGGTAATGTCATCAATGCTACAAGGGAATGGCATTCACTCTCAAATTTATATTCTAGTGGCTTGCCCTGTCTGTCTGTCTTGGAGGTTGTTTGATTGGGCTGTTCACTGTTAGCTTGGTTTGGCAGTTCCTTGAAGAATCTCCAAGACGATTCCCAAGACAAGTCACTAGAATATAAATTGAGAACCCTCCTTGTTAGCCCTGATGATGTTGCCTACTTGGGTCATGAAATGTCTGCAAGAAAACAACCAAGCTCAGAAAGCACCTAGGACCCTCCAGGTATGTGGGTATATAGCCTAGAAAAACCAGATTGGAGACAGATCACCCTGGAGAAAATATATATATATATTTTCTCCAGGGTGATCTGTCTCCAATCTGGTTTTTCTAGATATAAACACATTCTCACCTAGCTAAAAAGAAAGGGCCATATTGTGGATTCTAGGCACCAATGCTTGCTTGCCCAGGAAATCAACACCTTCTGTGCCAACAGAATAAGGAAACACCCTATCCAAGGACCATGGTCTGAGAAATTTACTGTCTTCCTAGGAGTCTGAGATTCACGTATGTTGTCAGTTCCCTTAATGCCCTGTTTTGCAACAATCTCTCTACACAACCTGCTTAATATGGAGGTATAACCTATGTGTTTTGGGGATGTCTGTCTTTGGAGAATTCTCACAGGCACTCAAAAACCAACATTCTTAATTGCATTATCTACCATAGTCAGATGCTCTGTACATCACCGCTGCTTGTGACCAACCTGAATAGTATAAACTCTTCAACCATGTGCCCAGTCCACAATTTCATTCCAAACTGAACTGGAATGGATCCTATCGGATCCTGCAATCGATTCGACACACACCCCTTGCTAAAACAAACCTCTTTTGCCATCAAAACCCTGCATTCTGTAATAAAATCTCTCACGCAAATGCCATGACGTACGCACACTTAACTTCTGTTCTTTTAATCCAGCCCAGCTACAGATGGCTTTTTTTTTTATGTAGAATGCAATTACCATTCCTCATTTCTTACATAAGTTTGCACCAAGCTAGCTGACTTGCAGCTAGAGGAACAGGGCAGGAAGCAACGTGGCTAAGGGGATGTGATCTCGCATCTCGTCATCCCAATTGAAGACATGTCCCTCTAGGGACCACATCTATGAGGCTAAATCTCTCTCCCTAAAGTATGCTGCGTGCTTTGATTTGGCTCCTTAAAGCTTTATCAAGTCACATTGGACACAGCCGCAGGACGTTTAAAGGTGCTGGGTACCCCCTTATTTTTGCTTTAAGAATCGCTGTGAGGTCATTCTTTCCATTCGTCCCCAGAACTGGATTTACAAGACTGGCCCACAGTTTTAACTCTCTTAGTGAGTCAGCAGCTAGGTTACAAAACTAATCCTAACAAATCAAGATGCCTGTGAGGTGGAATGCAATGATGAATTCCATTCACATTGGGCTCCTCAGTTCAAGCTAATGCCTTCATCTGAAAACAAATGCCTCTTTTCACAAGATTATTCTGGACCCAAACACCACCGATTCTTAAAACTGCCCATCCCTAACGAAGCGCCTTCCAAATTCCCTGAGAATTACAAGAGTCGGTTTACATCTGCAAAACACCCAAACTGAGAAGAACATTCTAGAACACGGTTTCTGCGGTACATTCTCGGTGACACAAGAGTACTGGCACCTTCTCTCTCTTCTTCTTCTTTTTTTTTTTTTTTACTGTTACACTAGACGCAAATTAAAAAAACTTGTCCTTGTTAGCTGGCTCCATAGCACCCCTCTTCCGAGAAGAGAAATTATCTGACGTTGATAAAAAAATTAAAAAGTTGAATCGGTATTTTGGAGGGCTGTTTTCCAAAGCTATCAACGGCTGGGGTAGATAGTACTTGCTTTTAATCTAGAAGGAGTTTCATGATTATATGAATACAGCCGCATGCAACTCCTGTCTTCATCCTAAATACGTTCATCAGCTTTTCTGACTACATGTTTTCTTATCTTCGATCGGATATACAGAAACCTAAAATTAATTCCAATTCCTTTTAAGGAGAATGAGGATGGCTAAACCCAGTGCTAATATTTAGAGACAGGTTTAGTACAGGATTTCTCCATTTTGGAAAAAAATAAATCAATTTATTGTCGCTATTAAAAAAATAATAATACTGGAAAAGCATCTTTCTGGCCTTAAAAAAAAAACCAACCAGCTGCTTCTCCAGTTTTTCACTATTCCTTTTTAATGATACCCAGTTACCTACCATCACTTTTAGGGAGCCAAATACCTAAGGATACTTATAAGTAACTACCTTATTGAAGGTAAATGATGCAGTATAAGTGTAGAGCATGTGCATAAATATAGACTGCGTCATAATTCTAGCCAAAAAGGAGAGCCAAAATTTTAATAACGTACTTTACTTTCTGCGTTCCCTCAACCCTTCTCTCTTTCTGTTTATATACAAACCCAGAAGACATATTTTGTCTGGCTTGCCACTAACAGACCCGAATCTTCAGCCCATCACAGCCAAAACCTCTCCCAAAGAAAAGCTAAACCTATTAATTTCGAAAATGGTCAAATTCTACGGGAGCTGCAAAACATCACGGGAAATCCAAGTCGACAAGGAGAAACAAGAAACAAGTTAAGAAGCGTGCACAAACCTTGGAAAAGAACCGAAGAAAGTATTTGTTTACACTGGCCTTTAGTCTGTCACTCTGACTTTACACTGACCCATTATATGCAGGTAGTCCTCGACTTAACAATGGTTCATTAAGCGACTGTCCGATTGTTTTTTGCTCTTAATGACTGTTGCAACACACCCACCCCGTAACACGATTAAAATTCAGGCGCTTGGCAAACCTCTATCAACATGATCCTCTTTTGCAACTCTTCAAACAAGCCAAGTCAACGAGGAAGCGAGATTCAATAACCGTGTTATTAACTGAACAACAGCAGTGATCCACTTAACAACTGTGGCCAGAAATATTGCAAAATGGGGCAAACGCTCGCTTAAAACGGTCCGGTTTAGCTATGGAAAGTTTGGGCTGTAAGTCAAGGAATAACTGTCTGTTGTTTCTCCGTTATTCCTTTGGATTACGGTGCCCTGTTATTAATTATTGCTTCTGTTAAACCCCTCCCCTCCCTACAAGCCTGGGAGGAGCAGCTGGACTTCCAATCTGACAATAAATAAAAAAAAATAACATCTACAGTTCCGCTCCCCATATCCTTCCTCCTGTTCTCCACCTGCAGTTAACTAATTGCTTCCCTTTGCAGAGTACACAAACTCCCATATTACGTCTTTCTGAAACTCAAGGCTGGACCGTCAGAAATGGAAATCCTGCCTTATGTCAGAAGCCTAATGGGGAGACCTCCACCAGCTCTGCCAAAAAGAGACACCCCCCCCAACCTCCTCATCGAAGCCCCTAAAACAGCTGGGCAGGGCAGCCATGGAGGGGAGGGGGGGCAAGGCACTTACATCTGCCCCCCCCCCAACTTTTCCTTCTTCCCCACGCCACAAGCAACACTGCAGAGCCCTGACAGTCCTGTCTCAACGCAGCAGCTGACCCTCACATGTCCCGCCCCTGCAGACACACTCACCCTAAAAAAAGGGGGGGGGAGCTTGACACTTCTCTTTTGCATTTTAGAGCTGGGGAAGGGAAGGGGATTTCAGCAATAGCCCTCCCTCCCCTCCCCTCCCCGCTAGAGCCAGAGGGAAGCTGGCCAGTCCCTGCCGGGGCAAAGGTATGAAAATTGCACCTGCCTTAAAAGCTCTTTTCCTGGCTGGACAGAAGCCAAAATGAATCCGCCTTCCTCCTGCCCTTTTCTTAAGCCGCCATCACCTCCAGCTGGATCTACTCTTTGGAGGAAGAGGAGGAGGAGGAAGAGGAGCCTTCGTCTTCTGGGAGTGAAGATGGAAGAAGAAGAACATTCTGGCTACTTTCTTTTTTCATCTAAGACACGTTATTCCCATCTAAAGAGGCGAACATCCCCTCCGCCTCTGCTTGGGGAACTGGCCAGCCCTCCCGAGTTTCTCCCCTTAGGGACGTTTCCAAAAACTCCACCCCCCCCCTTAAATGTTCCAAAAGATGTTCCAACCTCGGGAAACATCGGTCGGTCCCTTTGTGGCCTACTTCGCAGGGTTGTCGTGCAAAAAGAAAAAAAAGTAACTGGCGGCAAAAGGCTGCCCAGCTGCTTTAAGTCTCTTATGTAAATAAAACGCGGCCGGGGATTATGAAAGGGACCGACTGGAAAAGGGGAAGGAATCGGGGTCAGCCAAACTGTTTCTTCATTATACATCCCCCCCACCCACCCACCCCCCAAAAAACAACCACTAGGTTGCTCTGACCACTAGCCGTCACATCCTGAAACTTTGCTGGGGCGGACCCGAACCTCCCACCCACCTTCCAAACCCCTAAGACCAAAGTGGTTCCAATACCTACGGCCGCTCCGATCCTTTTTGGTACCCAAAGCAAAGCAAAAAAAAAACCAAAAACAAAACCGTGGGGAAAAAAAATTAGGAAATTATATATATATAATTATATATATATATAAAGAGAGAGCGAGAGAGATCTACAGTCGTCATCATGTCCTTGGAAGGCGTCCAAACCGGAGACCGGATCTCCGAGGCTGTCGGGCACCTGAAGCGGTCGGGGAAGGGACGCCCCGGCCGGCGGGCTCCGGAGAGAAGACGCCGCTCCGGGCGAGGAAGAGGAGGAAGAAGAAGAAGAAGAAGGAAGGGGAGTCGCATCCTTCCACCGGCTCCATCTCGCCGTCTTTCTCCCCTCCCCAACTCCACTCCTCGGATTCCGAGCCCGAGCGAAGCGTCGTGTCCCCGGTTAGATGTCTGATCCCGGACCGGCTGCGGAGGATGAGCTCCGGAGCGGCGCGAAGCCCAACACCAAAACCAAGAGCTCGGACTTAAGAAGAGGCAAGGGTCTCTCCTTCGGGCAAGGAGGTGGGATCGGGAGGCCGGCGAGCGGGTTTGGCTTCCTCGCCCGCCGCCGCTGCCGCCGCCGCTCCTCCTCCTCCTCCTCCTCCTCTTCCCCGTCTGTTTACCTCGAGTTTGAATTTTATCTGCGCAACATTAGCTGGAATGCGGACATCAGAGGCGGCGGGGGGGGGGAAGGAGCGACGCGCACACGCAGCCCCAGAGGGAGCCGTGCGCGGGAGCTCCCGCCGAGACAGGCGGCCAGCCGGGGCAGCAGCAGCAGCAGCAGCTCGGCCGCCCGCCCGCCGCTCCTCCGCCACCTCGCCGTGGCGCATCTCGCTTTGCAAGGCGAGTCTTCCCTCCCTCATCCATCCCCCGCTAAGGAGACTTCCCC